CGCGGAGCGCTGCTGGCTGGCAGTGCTGGGTTGCTGCCAGCCCGCTGCTGCCGCTGTGTGCGGACAGCATGGCCACGACCGGCCCTTGCCGGCCGTTTGGCGACTTCTTCCGGCAACTTTAACATGAATCATCATGAAATGACCTAACTTGATCATATGTACTGAACTTACTCAAAAATAATGCATTTTTCTCAATAAGGTGCCGTGAGGTGCGCTACGGGCGCTACCGTCGGCTTAAGGCCAATCCTCGGCCAAACATCATTTTACCTCGACCACTAAAGCTTGACTGATCATGAAATGCTATTTAAAGCTTATTGAGACTAGGGTTACTCGCATGATTCTGATCATATTAAAAGATAACATAAGAGGGCATATACTAGCCCCGTAAGCATGCGCTACCGACTTCCTTAGGCCAAAACATGGTCTAAACCTCAATTTGTCTCGACCTATCTTCATATACTGAACATATAAGGATATAACATGATGAAATAAGTATGAATTGCATAGGTGTTGTCGGGTAAAACATGAACTTATTCGATCATGGCCTAAAATGGCTTAAACCGAGCATAATTTGACATTTACATGCATTTCTCGACATGAGCTGACTGAACTGACTTAAACACGAGCTTATTAACATTAAAAGATGCTGAATATGAGGTTACCTCACTAAGTACTCGAAGAATTTCCTATGAATGGGCACAATTCATCTTCTCCGCACATATGCTCGTGCGTGTGTGCTTATTTGGGGCTAATTCTTTGTTCAATTATTGCTAAGTATTTGCTGAACGTTTGGCATGAGTTATCAGCCATATTTTGGCCCCAACATCTGACTTATACACGCTGAGATGAAGAGGAGATGAGGATGTTGGCTCGGCCAATGGCTATGCGCCATTTGCCGAACTCTCACGGCCTTAGGTGGCTTACTCATCACTTGGTTGGCTTAGTCATGACCTCAATCACTACCAGCCCTCCAAGTGTCCCAAAGTGATGAGGATGCACGTGAATATGGGAGGACTTGAGCCTTCTTGCTCATTAGGCTCGCTAAGCGCGGTTAGCCATGCTAAGGGCATGCTTAGGTGCTAATGCGCGTGAGCTTGTACCATGACCACACTTACATGATTAAATTAATTAAGCAAGGGCTAATGACCATTACTTAATTAACGATGGACGGTGTACCAATGTGAACGCGTCACAGTATAGGTAGACCAAACTTGACGTGAAGAACTTTAACTGAATTAACTATCGGAATATTATTCCGAACATGAACCTGACATTCGAAAGTCAATTCGAACATTCTTGACTTAGACGATTAATCCGAACATTAATATGTCGAATAGTTCGTCAACTTGGCTTATTACTTCCAGACTCATTAACTAAATAAATGAATCGGAATTAAATCTGAAAACTTATTCGG